GGACTGTGCCCCAGGCGATGCCAGCTTTGAGGGGGTGGTCTACAAAGTTGTTGAAGGAGAGAAAGCTTGCTGAGTTTAGGGCTGGTGGATTTGGACGCGGCGAGGTTGTTGGCCCGTATATCCCGGAGGTATTGGCAAAAATATGTACCTTGGTGGTCACATTCCACTATGCTGTTGTTTTGCGATATTCTCTAATTTTTTTGTTTTCATTTAAAATGCACTATAGGGGTTGGATGCACATGGGGAGATTAATCCACCCATGGTCGATGCTCCTGCAAAGGTAAATTGTTAGGTGTTTCTAAAATGGGGGGGCATAGTAAGTGCATATAGATTTTTATAGTATTTTGCATGTGGTGGGGGGGGGAGGGGGGTTGGTGTATACTGTGTGGATGGTTACTGCATCTGTGCGTTGTATATATGGGGGTGGGGTATTGGTAGCTGTGGTCTGTGTTTACAGGGGGCAGTAGTATGTGCATATGGGACCATAACAGTACGCAGTAGTGAGTGATATATATGCGCTACTGAAATGAGTTTCATCTCTGCAGATCGATGCTGAAATATATGTTGAGAAGACCGACATGTTAACTGATGCTTTAGAGGACATGGTTCATTTCATGGAACAGCACAACGACCTCCCCCGGCCCACGGAAGGCTTTGCTAGGCTTCTGGCTGGTGCCCGGGCCTTCATGCGATTGACGGACGAGGGTGGATCCTCCGGTGTGACAATTCCTGTTGAAGTGCGAGGCACCGGACTGCTGAGCGATGATGAGATGTGGACGAACCCGGCGAATTTAGATGTGGTTGATGCGCTTGTTATCGCTGCTCAACAGAAGAAAGGTGCTGAAGAAGTACGGCCGCCCGAGGTTGACGGGGAGGCGCAGCATAACTCCACCGAGCCTGCAGCGGAGGGCCAGTCTACAGCGGTTGGTCAGTGCGCGGCCGCGGTGTTAGTGCACCGCAGGACGGGGGGGCTGGAGCTGGTAGTAAGAATGCTGTAAGTAAGGTGGTATGCCGGCGCAGAAAAGCTAGGCGTTATTAGGGTTTAAATATTCTGGCATGTCTATAACGTGTATATGTGGTTTGTACTGTTTTTACCCCATCCCTATGACTGATATTATTTTTTGTTGTGTATGGTGGTATGCACGGGGGGGTTTTTAGTAATATTTTCATGGTGCGAGGACATGACCTTTTTTTGTGCATTAATGGTGTACGCCCAGTTAGGGCGTTATGATGTTATACTATGTTCGTACGATTATTTTTTTTGTATGTGTGGTTTTATATGTGGTTGAATGTTGTGTTTTGTTGCATAGGATGAAGCAGATATTCCATCTTTCAGTCTTGGGTTGACACAAGGAGTATCTTCGGTGGGATTTGGGTTGTCGCAGGATCTACCCACCCAATGTTGGGAAGTGGTGGATGCAATTGTCCGAGAGTAGGGCGCGCGTTCACCGGATATCATGCCGCGCGGGTGTTCATCTACCCCATGTGGTGCAGTAAGTATGCTTCTTTAAAATAATATAAGTATTTAACGGTTGTCGCACACGCGATCGCGCTCACTCGAGGAGTGATACACATGACATGAGCTAGCGCAACTCCAGGTGTCTATACAAGCACAAATGCTGGACCCGCACGTTCATCATCGTGGCACACGCGCGCAAAATAGCGGGCACACTTCGCTTTTTTTTTGTGCTGGTATGTGCGGGGGGAGGGGGGGCATGTGCATGGAGGAACACACGCTGGTAACGGGGCCAATGCGTGTGCAAAATAAGATAATGGGCAGGCCTGTGCGTTGCCGATCTGGTAGATGCGCGCATGACAGCGTGTGCATATCAAGCATGATGGCTGTATATATGCGCGGGTAGCCAACGGCGTGTGCACATACAAGTAAAAGGGGGGGGGGGGGTCTGTGCGTCCATGGGAGACTCGGCCAATGCGTCGAGTCAGAATGTGGGGTGGGGGTGGACAGGTGTATCGTGCGTCTATGCACGCACGCATAGTGCCCAGTGCGTGGGGCGTCTGGGCTAATGCGTGTGCATGTTAGGCTATCTAGACAGTCGCGCAGTGTGCATGCGAAGCATCTGGTGGCTAGGTATGTGCGTCAGAGATGTTTAACGTGTGCGTATAATTTTACGCGGGTGCGCAGTAGATATCAGTCGCGCACGGTCTGTGCGTTAGGGTACATGTGTGTGCGCAGGGGGGTCACAATGGCCATGTGCATGATCAGAGTGTTTTCTCCTTTCCCATCACCCGTATTCATTTCGTTTTACGTTGTTTTGTAGGTAGGCGCAAAACCGACTAAGCTATCTACTCCCCGCGCCCCTGCCACAGTTGGCCATGATGGCACTCACCGGGGAGTATCGAAACGGGGCCGGCGTGAGGTTGCCATTGATAATGCAGAAAACCATTACACCCCGCTATTGGTATGTTCAGTATGTTCTGTTTGGTACGATTAGATTAATAATATTAATACTTAATATGTTGTATATTTTGTTTGCCTCGCAGCGACGTTTACCGACCACCAAGCCGTCTGCCGCGATTTCCAGTCCTCCACACTGTCATGCTCCAACGAAACAGCCCCGGCAGAATTTTCCTAACGTACGCGCACTTAGGACACTAGATCTGAACTCATATAACCATCGGACACGCGCATGGGCTGCGCTGTCCCTCCCCGGCTCCAGGCCTGATGCGCAAGCAGTGTATGACTGGCTAGCTATATCCGCCGACCGTGACATGTAAGTAACAATAGCGTTGTTGTGTATATTGTTCTAACGTGTAACTGGGGTGGGGGTCACACACTTTTCTATTCTTGATCCGTGCAGAGACGAGGAGTTGTTTTTATTTCGGGGACGGTCTGCACGCCGGGCTGAATTCGTATCACTATTGGAGGGCAACGAAGTGCTGGTTGGCGTAATAAACGTTTGGTTGTGCGTGTTGAATGCCAGGGAGAGATTCAAGGCCGCGGACTCACCGTCCAGATTATTCGTGTCTGCAACCGCAATGGTAAGGATACCAGTAGCTATTTTCACCCAAAGGAAGCGAGTTGGATAACGGTATAATAAAGTGACGTGTTTTATATTTCTATTAGTTGTACACTGCGGTTGATGTGTCGGCTTCATGGGATCGGCGACTGCAATGGTTCACGGAGAGCATGGTGGACGAGTTGAAGGGCTCTCCTTACAGCGCGTGGGACGACATTGACATTGTAAGTGATGCTCTCCCCTGTACATATTGAGCGCTGATCCGGTAGTTGCGTCCCTTTTACCCCCTTAGTGCGTCCGGTGCAACAATTATTCAAATGTTATGCAGATTCTTTTTCCGAAACTCCACGATGGGCACTATTACGTCATTTCAGTGGACTTCAGGCGCATGCGGCTGGACGTCATTGATAATTCATCGGCAGGGGATCTCTCACTAGCGAAATATGGCCACACGCGTGGCGCTGTGGTATGTGGGGGCGTATATGCTTATGAGTGTGTTGTTAGTTTTAAATGTCTTTTTTTTGGCTGACGGGATTTCATTTTTATAGCATGAGCTGTTCTCCGTCTTCTTCGAGGATGCTGGAGTAGGTGCGCTGTTTATGAAGGTCACCCAGCTGATCCCGCGGAGGGTCCGACTACCATGGCGCGATTCTACCAACAAAATAGACTGTGGCGTGTTTGCAATGCGACATATGGAGAGTCATGTGGGACAGCCGTATGCGTCATGGGATTGCGGTCTCCGTAGGGGAGACGCACGCGCATTAAGCGCTCTACGTGTTCGATTCATGGCGGATATTCTGATGTTCCAAAGCAACGCCCACCGGAAATTGATTATCGCACGTGTCTCCAGCCCTGTTGGTGATGCTCCTTGATTTATTTCTGTTAATGAATGACTTTTTCACAAGAATTTGATGACGTTAAAATAGCGGATTTTTTTTGTGTTATGCCATGTTTGTGATTCTAGGTATTTTATAACTTATCAGTTATCTTTTGTTGACGAACACTAAGGTGCTATTACTGGTCGGTTATACTGTTTTGTTCCATAAGGCATGATCCACGCATAGGCAGGGCATGTATTACGCACAAACGATGTATGTACACGCACATGTATATCCTAAGGATTGTCAAGCACAAGCTACCCTGCCAGCGCATTTACGTAGTCCGGCAATGCACAGCCTAGCCGTTGCCTATCATGCACACGAACTGTTACACCCATTTCTGTACATATGTGCACATGCCACATACACCCAACGCACCTACCAACATCGCACAGACCAGTCGTTGCCTAATACGCACACGCTGTGTCCCACCCTTTGTGCACATATGTGCACATGCCACATACACCCCACGCACATATCACCATCGCACAGACCAGCGTAGCCTAATATGCACACGCACTGATGCGGCATTGTGTACATATGTGCACATGCCACATATACCCCACGCACATGGCTACAGCGCACAGACCAAGCATTTGCCTAACACGCACACGCAGCGCCCACCCTTGTGCACATATGTGCACACGCCTCATACACCCCGAGCACATACCATCATCTCACAGACCAGCGTGGCCTAACATGCAGTCTCACTGATGCGCCATTGTGTACATATGTGCACATGCCACATACACCATACGCACATGCCGGCAAGCGAGCGGGTTAGTATATAAAATGCAACGAACCAACATCATTAGTTTATATAAAAAATAATGAACGAACAATTACATATGGATAGGTATGCAACCACAACCTGCCGGTAATGCACAGTTGCATACGGACTACGCACAGGCAGTGACCAAAACATATTAATAATCAGATTTCATTTTATGGCATAATAATCTTTTATAGCGGGGTTGGGGCGGTAGATGCATCATATGGTAATATCAAGTTCATTCCAAACAACCGACATTTTCACTAAACGAAGTCCAGATCAAAGGAGTTCATAATTTAAGTAGCAAAAGTTTGGACATCAAATACGGGTTTGTAACGCCCCATTAAGATATTATAAATGGTATCATGGTAG